GGCAAGGAGAAGAACAAAGAAGGCCGAGAACACAGGATCCTGCTGGAGGAGGCCACTCTGCTGGGCACCCAGAGGGCCCTGGCCTCCAAGCTGATGTAGGTTAGTGTGAGCTTTTCCTCTTTCAGCCTACTGCAGTGTAGACTGACTTGGGTTTCCTTCCTCCTGTGCTATCCTCTGGGTCCCTGGCCCATGTAAACTGTAAGGGTCCGGCGGAGCGTCAGAGAAAGAGACCACAAGAGACCAACTTCATGCAATAAGCAGGGGGGAATTTTATTGAACCAGCATGCTGGGGCTCTGTGCCCACTCAAGAAAGGAGAGCAGCCCAGAGCCCAGAGCAGAGGTCAAGCAGAGCTTAAGTACACTTTTTGGAGAGGGCCGGGGGTGGAGGGGGTGGGGGGGGCTTTGCATACATCAGAACAAATCATCATGAGGTGCGGGAAAATTGAACAACAACTCTGAGACATGATTAGTACATTCATTGGCGGGAACAGTCTGGGCAGGGGTGATTGGTCACTCCTAAGCGAAGGGAGGACTCGGTCACAAAGCCAACCTGTGGGAAGCTGAGTCAAGAGGGACTTATAAAGAGGGTGGGTGTGGATGCCCACTCATCGGGGACACCGTTCACAGCAGGCCCTGGGTGTGCCCAGCTCGAAGCAGGTAGGCCGCCCAGTCAGGAGCTGCTCTTCTGTCTGATAAATCTCAGGACCAAAGACCCTGACCTCCTCCGCTGTTGGTATCACCGAGTTTGCCCATGTGCAGTCCCTGGTAAGCCAGCATGGCGAGCTGCTCTGGCCTCTCACTGATCACTAAACTCAGGGTGAGGGGAGAAAATGCTTGGTTTTAGTGCTGTGAAAGGCAAAGGTTGGGTGAGGGAGAGCAGGGAGCTGGGCTCCAGATCTGGTCCCAACTCTTGGCTTCCCTTCGAAATGTTTTTTTCCAAATGATTACTATCCTTTAACCTTCCCTATATTTATCTTCTAAACAGTACATATTGATAGATGTGACCCACATAAACAGAACTCTTCAGGGTCCTGGATAATTTTTAAGAGTTTAGTACAGGGGTCCAGACACCCAAAACCTTGAGATCCACTCACCTAGACAAGAGTAGCAGTGGGTCAGAAGGGGCTGTGGCGGGTATCCCCTCTTCAGAGATGCCATGTCCCGTTTTTAGGGAGACACCACCTTTCTCCTTTCTGCTTACTGAACTGCAAGAAGAGAGAGAGGAATCAAAGGAGACATTGTTAAGTGAAAAAGAAGGCAGGACTTTTGTCTTAGTTTTAAAAATTCTGATGCTAAAATTAAGAACAGTTTCTGAGATAAATTTAATTCCATCAAAGGAATCAGTGTGCTGAATGTCTATTTGTTTTAGGCAGCTTTTTTTGCTGCTGTGACCAAAAGACCTGATAAGAATAATTTAGAGGAGGTGCGGGTTTCATAGATGTCTGTCCATAGACGGCCAACTCCATTGCTCTGGGCCCATGGTGGAAGGGCGCGGTGGAGGAAAGCAGCTCAGAATGTGGAACCAGGAAGTCAAGAAAGAGTCAAAGGCCTGTTCCCCAGTGAGGCACCTCCTCCAGCCGCACCCTACCTGCCTACAGTGGATTAAGGTACTGAGTAGGTCAAGGCTCTCATAATCCAATCATTTAACCTGTAAGCCTTCCTGCATTGTCTCATACCTAACTCACAACAACATTAATTTTTTTTTTCCAGTGTGGAGGACTAAACCTAGGGCCTCAAAGATGCCAGACAAGTACTCTGAGCCCACATATCCAGCCCTGTGAGCCTTTTAAAACCCAAGACTAAGAATGGTACCTCAGAATATTATTATCATAATGTAACAGTGTCCACTTCAGGCTTTGAATGTGACCCTGCTGCTCGGCCACTGCAACTGGTTTTTAAATGGACGCGGTTCTTTCTCTTCTTCTCTCCTCTCCCTGCTCCTCCCTAATTTCTTCCCCCGCTCTCCCCCCAATCTCAGGGGAGACAGGATCACCTTTCTGGCCCATTCTAGGCAGAGGTATCTGTCCCTGAGCACACACCCACCATAGGAAAGAAGTCCTCCAGACCTTGGGGATGGCACCAGAACATCTCAGAAATGACCATCTCCCAAATTAACAAGTGAATGACAACTCCAACAGAGAGCACAGGGAATGCAGCCTGAGTCACCTCTCTAACAGCCCCAGTTCCTGCTTATGGACAGGATCACAGCCTTTGGGACAGAAGTCCTCTGTGTTTCTCCTTTGCTAGCAAAGCAATAAACCTTCTTTTTCCTTTTTCTCAAAAATCGTGTCCTTGTTATTAGATTGGCATCAAGGATAAGGATTGAGATTTTGGCAATAATAATATTATTTAGGCACAAAAAGGGCCCTAAAAAAAATAACATCCGGGGCTGGGGATGTGGCTCAAGCGGTAGCACGCTCGCCTGGCATGCGTGCGGCCCGGGTTCCATCCTCAGCACCACATACAAAGATGTTGTGTCTGCCAATAACTCAAAAATAAATATTAAAAAAATTCTCTCTCTCTCTCTCTCTTTAAAAAAAAAAAATAATAACATCCTTCACAGATTCTCACAAACAAGGGCCCTGGGAAGCTTTGGGCATGTTCTTTGGGGATGATGTGTGTTTGTGTGTTGTGTGTGTGTGTGTGTGTGTGTGTGGCACACGCACATGAATGGATGAGCTTTTTCTCTGGAAGAGAGTAAAAGGGTTCACTAGGTTCTCCGTGCTGACCCACCAGAGGTCAAGCACAGGGCTGTGCAGGTGGCAGATGATTGACATGGGAGAACGTCCAGACCCCAGGAGTGGGCAGCTCCCACCGGGAAGCTGGCCTGGGATGACGTGGCTGTAGACATGATGTGGAGGTGCCATAAAGACGGTCAGACTGTGTGCCCAAGGAGGGGTCTGCCTGGCCTTCGGGGAAGGGCCTGCGTGTCCACACGTCCGTTTCTTACCCTTCTGCCTAGGCCTTGATTGGCAGCGTGGTGGACAGGATGGAAAGCCAGGCAGAGTTGTCACACAGAGTTATCACACAGAGAATATTGACAGGGAGGAAAGATCTTCACTGGTCGATTCCATACACTTATTTTCCAGAGTGTTTCCTATCCTTGGTTGATTGGATGCAGGGTGAAATCCAAGAGCTAACTCTGCTTCAGGACCCTTCCTAGAGACACAGACATCTTATTTTTCCATGTTTCTTCTGGAGACTATGGAGAAGGGAATTGTGCCCAGGGCAGAGCTGGATGTAGTGAAGGGGCTAAAATCGGGGCCAGGCTTTCAGGCCAATAATCCAAGTAGTAAGATAAGAAGGAAGAGAGCCAGGTGGCCTGTGGAAGCAGGAACCTCCATTTCCCCTGAGGAGAGGGAGCCTTAAAACCATATGATCTGTTTTAACAAAAATGCTTTTTATTGCTAATGAGCTTAGGAAATGCCTCCTAGTAATCCCTCCTAGCTCTCCAGGCCAGGTGTGAACTTAATGTCCTGTGAGGCTCAGCAAGTTGAAACTCACCCAGCTCACCTCTGCTTTGTTTTAGGCTCTAGAAATGAGCAAAGGGAGGCCTTTTGAAGGGTGTTGATCAACCTCTCCATAGCTGTTTACTTCAAGCCTTAGACTATCCGGGAGCTGGTAAATCCAGCAGCTGTGAGTTTGGATTAGGGGTGACCTAGCAGCTGGTGAGCGATTTAGCATCTTCAGGCTTCTGGTCCTTACTTGTAGAGTGCAGAATTCATTCAGTAAACTCATCGTGAATGTTTACCACATTTCATGCTCTATCCTAGGTGCCAAGGAGGCAAGGACACACAAGACAGACCTGTCCCCACGTTACATTTTGCCTATATTTCAGTGGTTGGGAGTAACGGTTGTCCACTTGGACGTGTGTCCCTCACTAGTAGGTGGGAAGGCAAGCTTCCCCCATGCTGGAGTCATGATCTCACCAGCCTGACCTAGCATTCATGCCAACTGGATCAGCTGTGCCTGACCCATCTGCGGGTCCTGAGGCCCGGGAGTGTGGGGAGCTGGGCGTGAAGTTTGCCAAGTGTCTCTAAATCTTTACATGTCCCAATTATTGTCCAGAGAATGAGACCTGTTTTGCCATGTTGCCATGATTGATGTAGATGCTCGTAATTAATACAGTAGAGATTCTTTTAAAGGAATTGGACAAGTATTACCAGCATTTTTTTTAAATCACATATATTCTCCATCACATCTTCCCCTGCTTGAGACTGAAGGGGAGCTCAGTGGCAAGACGCTCCTCCAGCAAGCAGGAGCCCTGAAGAAAAACATCTCATCCTGCCTCTTCCTGGATTAAAGCCTTTAACAGCTCCTCACTGGGCTCAGCTCAAAGTCCACTGCTGACCTTTCCTAGCATCTTGCGTCACCTCCACCCCCGTCCATCCGCCTGCTGGAACATGTAGTCTCTTCTGGGCCACGGCTGAGCACCCCAGGGCTCAGCCCTTCTGGCACCCACAGATCCAGAGAGGGCAGAGTGATCTGCCTGGCAGCCGTGCCAACCTGCTGAGAGAGGTGAGAGTCCTCCTCACCATCCCAGCGGCCCCCCCTGGGTCCAGCATTCCTCGCCCAAGCCACCCTAGGCCTCCCTCCTCCTCTCCAAGCTGCTTGTCCAGGGCATCCACCCCGCTTCCCCAATGCCCTCCAAACATCGGAGCCAGTTTCTGAACCGATGTCATTTTTCCTTTCAAGGGTTTAAAAAATAAACAGTCCTGGGCTGGGGATGTGGCTCAAGGGGTAGTACGCTCGCCTGGCATGCGTGCGGCCTGGATTTGATCCTCAGCACCACATACAAATAAAGATGTTGTGTCCACGGAAAACTAAAAAATAAATATTAAAAAAAAAGTTCTCTTTCTTTAAAAATAAATAAATAAATAAACAAACAAACAAACAAACAGTCCTAGAATTCACAGCACTGCTCCATACAGCACTGCTCTATGTTTCCCTGGACTGGCTTTCTTCATTGTTGTACAGAACCCAAAGTCCATAGGGCCCTCATGGCCAGAGCTTTCACGTGCTGTGCAGGTGAAGTATTCAGATCCCTGAGGAGAGTCCTAGAAAGATGGGGGAGGAGGAGATGTGACGCATATTTTGACTTCTCTTTCCATCCTTAGAATCTTCCACAGAATGAAAAAGAAAAATGAGAAACAAGTCTACCTTTTAAAAGGTGAGGGGGAAAAGAACGACCGACCCTTCCATTTATTTAAATTATTAACATTGTGCTAACCAAAGAATATGCTTGGGCTGGGGTGGAGCTCTGCTCTGTGGTACAGTACTTGCCCAGAGTGTAAGGCCCTGGTGCAAGCCCTAGTGTGTGTGTAGTGTGTGTGTGTGTGTGCGCGCACACACACACATACAGTGCTGAACATATATGGATAGTTTAACTAGTAACAAAAATGGATACATCACCTATTATCCAGCTTTAGAAAAAATGAACTTAATTAGTGCTTTAGGAGGCTCCCGTGGGGGCCTCCTCAGTGTCCTGTGATAATCACTCTCTGGAATTGGAGCTAATCCTGCCCTCGTTTTCCTCCAGAGTCCGCTCTTGGAGTGCATGTTCCTGTGCAATGTTTCTAGGGCAGTTTCTGCATGCTGTATAAATGACATCACTGGGAACGTATTTTCGTGACTCACTTTTTCCACTCCTGTGTTTTAAGAGCTACCTGTGACTATGGTGGCAATGGCTTTCTCTGATGAGCTGTGTTCCTTTGTGTGACCTTGTGACATGGTATCCACCCACCTCCTGGTAGCCAGGCTTGTGTGTCACTCGCTGTTGGTTGTGATGACGGTGCTGCCCATTCCTGTACTGCCTCCAGTCCAAGGGGCAAGAAATAAGGGCACGCCTCAGGGGTTGTGGAGACAAGGCCCAGCTCAGCAAGGTGGCAATGCCAGATGGGCCTCCGTGGGGTGCTTGGGACTGTCCAGTCCCTGCTCCCGGCTGCAGTGGTGAGGGGTGCTGGGGGAGGCAGAGCCAAGGAACCAATCAGAAGGTGTTTTCTGGGCTGTGACCCCAATGACTGGTCACATCCTGAACACCAGGGGAATGACCCTTGATGGGAGAGAGTGCATTTGGTGATGAGAATTTGAAAGAAAAGATCAGTTTAAACTGTGTTCTGTCCTGGGTCAGTGGCCTCATTTTATGGTCTAACTTTATCTATCTATCTATCTATCTATCTATCTATCTATCTATCTATCTATCTATCTATCTATCTATCTATCTATCTATCTTTCTATTTATTTATTGGTACTAGGGGTTGAACCCAGGGCCACCTCACTGAGCCACATCCACAGCCCTTTTTATTTTTTATTTTTATTTTGAGACAAGTTCTCATTAACTTGCTTAAGGCCTCATTTAGTGGCTGAGGCTGGCTTTAAATTGGCGATCCTCCTGCCTTGGCCTCTCAAGTAGCTGGGATGAGAGACATGCGTCACCGTGCCTGGTTCTAATATGACAGTTTGCAACTTTGATTACTTCTTTAAGAGCGATTTCTAGAATTGCTGGGCCAGAGGGGACACATGTTCCTGCCTTTGCCAACCTCTCTCTCAGGACTGTGTCTTCTATCTGGGCCCCGGTCTCTCGCCTGGTGAAGGTCCCTGAGCGTGCCACCCTGCTGTCACCTCTCCTGTCCTTGCTCATCTTCCACTGCCACGGCAGCTCCCTGGGGTTGGAAGATCTGGCTTCAGGATGCCCCCCACCATGAGCCGGGGAGCTTGTCTTTCCCTGCAGCTGCCAGTCTCTGTGGAGTCCTGGGCTCTCTTGGGCTCTTTGCCACTTTAGTTGGTCTCATCTTCTAGGTGGACTGTGACATGCTATTTAAAGACATGCAAAGCTCATCAACATTTCGTGTGTGGATGCCTCTCTGTGCGTGCTCTTCCTGAGCCGGGAACACCTCCTGCTCCTCATTCCTGTTCCTGTCAAGGTCCAGCTCCGTGTCACTTCTCTATGACCCTCGAGACACGCGGCTGCCTCGTTCCTCCTCCCACCATCTTCGCCACATCTTTACAAACTGTTTTTTTCTGGTCGTTTTGTAGCCAGTTTATTAGCAACACCTTCCTAAAAGCCATGACTCCTGAGCAGAAGCACTGTGCCTTCTTTGCCTGGATAAATCCCGGCCCCAGAAGAGCTTGTCATAGAAGGGCCAGCTGCCAAACTCCGCACTGTGCATCCCCTGCCTCAGATAGGAAGACTAGCAGCAGCCTGGTGTGCCAAATTCCCTGGTAGCTAGGTGTGTCCTGTGGTTGAGCTCAGGATGTTGAAATCTAGGTGGGACTTCCTGGAAGTCTCTTAGGATGGAAGGGAGATCCCCCAGGCTGTCCTTCCTTCTGACTAGAATGCTGACGTGAGTGCAGGAGCTTGGAAAGCCACGTGACAGTCAGAGGCCCCACTCCGGGTCCCCCTCCTTCCAGACTTCTTTTACCCTCAAAGGAGGCACAGCATGCTTAGCAGTTTATCTTTAGATAAACACAATGCTGCCAGGCTCAGTGCTTGCTGTGTCCATAGAGGGTGGAGTAGCCACAGAACCATGTGACTGCTGTCCCTGCTGACTCCCATCACACTTGAACAAAAGCCAGGGCTTCCCTGAAGCATTTGCTTGAGTCTTGGTCGATCTGTATATTTTTTATTGTTTTTAGATCTTATTAATTTTATAAAATTGACTCCCAATTTGTCTAAGAAGCAATAAATTGTTTAAAAAATCAACTTGCAATTTAAAGTGCAGATAATCAAGCAGAAGGCCTGAGGTTGGAGAGCAAGAATCACATCTAAAGACCAGAACTCGATGCCCTCCCTGGGCCACCCAGGCTTAGCTCCCTCAGCTTCTGCTTGGGGACTCAGGCCCGCCCGCAGCCGCCTCCCCACCAAAGGAAGCTGGGTTTTGGAAAATGGGTGTGGTGGCGGATCTGGGTAGGAAGGCTGGGCCCTGAAGGGGAAGAAGGTCCTCTGCTGAGGGCCCGTGGAATCCGAGAGTCTGCTGTCCAAAGAGGGCACATGACTGGCATCTGACATTCTTTCCATCCCAAGCAACAGAAGACACCTCTGCAGAGCTTAAGTGAAAAGGGGGAGTTTGTTGGAAGGCTGGTGGTGTTCCTGCGCCCAGGGAAGAGTTCTGGGCATGGTGTGCCGAGCCTTGTGTGGAGGGTGAGGACTGACCCTGCTCTGCCCCCACCATTGTCCCAGTGGGCTGAGTCCCTGGGGGACATGTCCTCTCACCCCAGGGACTGGCTGAGTTGTGCTATCCTTTGCCTGGTCACCTGGATGCCTCTGGCTAGCTCACTCGGGCTCCCCACACTCCCCAGGCTCCCCACACTCCCCTGGCTCCCCACAGGGGAGGCTCCCCACACTCCCAGGGGCAGGGAAGACCTCTCCAGGAGGTTCAGGGCTGCTCCCCGGGGCAGGCATCGTGAAGGGTCCCCACCCCCCCACCCCTACCGTGGCCTTCAGCCTGATCCCTTCTCATGGGCTGCTCTCTAAGCCTGTGACACAGGTGGCCTTGAGGGCTCAGTGGGCCATCTGGGACACACCTAGGAGTGGGGCACCAGGCATTCGCTGGTGCCCACTGGACACGCAGGGCTTGTCACTGGACTCACTGTTGAGTGCTCTGACTGGGCCCACGCTGTGGGAAGCCTTTGGTGTCACATTTACACATCCCACTCCCCATCCCACATGGTCAGATTTCCTGGAAAAGTGTCTTTCTGGCTCTGCCCAAAGGGGACACCATCTGGCTGCCCGAGTCTGGCTTCTGAGTGGAGAAAGAGAAGTTATCGTCCTCTTAGCGTGAGAGTGGTCCTCCTGACACCCCCTGCTTCTGTCAGGATTCCTGAGCCCTCAGCTGTGACTCGTGTCTCCAGACAGAACACGGGCCCTCCTTTCCCCACACAAGCCTGGTGTCTTTGGCCCGGGCTAAGGAGGGGCAGCCACTCTCTAAAGGACTGTGGGGAGGGACCTGGGATCTAATTTCTCCTCCTCCTCCTCCTCCTTCTCCTTCTCTCTCTGTATCCCCAGGACTCACACTCCACCACTGAGCTACACCCCAGCTGTTCTTTATTTTGAAACAAGATCTTGATAAGTTGCTGAGGCTGGCCTAGAACTTGTGACCCTCCTGCCCAGCCCCCAAGTTGCTAGGATCACAGGTGTGCACCATTGCACCATTGCACCTGGCTAACTGCTTCTTAAATAGACGTTTAATCCGTTTTTCTGCTTTTAGGCCCACTTAAAAATTTTTTATTGGTGTATTGAATTATATAATGAGTGGGATTTGTTGAGACAGAGCCACACACGCACACCATGTGATCGGCCGCCTATTTCCTCACGCCTCCCTTCCCCTTCCCCATCTCTTTCCTCTCCTCTGTTGACCTCTCTTTGATTTTCACGAGGCCCACCCTCATCTTTCTTTCCCCTTTTCCTCTCTAGCTTCCGCATATGGGAGGAAAGCATGTGACCCTTGACCTTCTGAGTCCCACTTACTTCACCTAAGGTAATTGTCTCCAGTTCCATCCCTTTTCCTGCAAACTGCATAATTTGTCTCTTCTTTATGATTAAGGCAACAAGTCCACCCTTAACCTACTTCAGGTGGGTCCGGAACCTCTCACCCAGGCCTCTGTGGGGTCCTGGGGTCTGAACGGGTCGCTTCTTGCCTCTCCCCACAGCTGCTGAGGCTTGGTTTCCCAGCCTTCTCGCCTGCCCCTTGTCTCCAGCTGTGCTGGGACAGAACCCAAGGCCTGACGCATTGTATGCACACATTTTCCTTGTTCTTGTTCCTTTGCTCATTTATGGGTTGCATTTTGTTGTTGTTGTAGTTTTGTTTTTACTAATTACTTCTCATTTTAGTGGATCTCAGAGGGGAAATATGAATTGATTTCTGCTGTCTTTTTTTTTTTTTAAATCTGTTTACATTTTATGAAAAGAAATACATTTGACTTTCTTGAACTTGGATCCAAAAACCCTGAGGAAGTGACCCCTTGTCCAATTTGAGTCAGGTGTCCCCCAGTGGATTTTGGCAAGGAGAGTAGAGCTCTGTCCCAAGCAAGACCAAAGGTGCAGCCAGGCTTGGAGCCATGCTTAAGGAGCACGGCGGCTCCTGTGGCCAGGGAGAGGGGAAGGGCCATCTCTAGAAGTGGATGTCTGGAGCTGGGGATGTGGTTCAGTGCTAGAGCAACTGCCTAGCATGCTGGACACCCCAGGTTCAATCATTAGCACCAAAAGGAAAAAGCAGTGGGTTTGGGGTTTTGGAATAGATGGTCCCTTAGGATCTACTACAGCTAGAAATAGGAAGTTAAGATCTCAGGTTCTGATCCTAAGTCCAGGGCTCTTTCTGTTCTGCATATCTTACTGGTCAGTCATGAGGGCAGAGATGAGGGGGAGTCTCCTCAGTTTTTAGGCAGGAGCTGGAATGGATGTCCACAGAAGACTTCTGACTCTTGGTGCTACCGGATGGACAGTGAGGAGAAGTAGCTTCTCTGTCGCTCTATGTACAATCCTATTTGGAAATAGCATCAAGAGTCTAAACTGAAGATGGGTGTGATGGCGCACACCTCTAATCTCGATGATTTGGGAGGCTGAGGCAGGAGGATTGCAAGTTCAAAGCCAGCCTCAGCAACTTAGCGAGGCCCTCTTTCTAAATTAAATATAAAAATGTGCTGGGGATGTGGCTCAGTGGTAAAACACCCCTGGGTCTAATTCCCAGTAGGAAAGAAAAAAAAAAGTCTAAAGTGAGATCTGTGAGACCCAAGCCCCTTGCCTTCCTGCTGGCATCCTGTCCCACCTCCATTGTGGGCCCTGTGGAGTGAAGGACAGGCTGGAGAATCTGGTCAGCCACCCTACCCAGGAATCTGTTTTGGCTGCAGGATGCACAGAGATGCTCCCCGTGGTCTGGCCCCTGACCTTCTCTTTTCTGTCTGCACAGGATCTGTGATCACGTCTGCATGGATGTCTCTCAACCCTCCATCCTGCCCACCTCCACGACAACCTCAATCCTACTGCCTAGGGACAATTCCATTCTATTGTCCCACAGAAGTCAGCCCCAAAGCTCAGTGCTCCAAAATGATCTCATCCCTCTTTCACCTCCTGGGCTTGAAGCCTGGGAATGATTTCAACTCTATATTCCCTTGGCTTAGGCACCCAGCCAATCAGGGGCACCCCCCCTGGATCTGGCAGGAGGTGGCCGTGGGCATCAGTCTGACAGATCAAGCAGAGCAAGCCTACCAGGAGCAGGCTGCTGTTGGCACAGAAGTCCACAAACCTCAGAACCGGCCTGTGTCGTAGGCCCCCAAAGGGTATGGGGAAACAAGATCAAGGCTGCACGAGATTCCTGGGCCCCAGTGGGTCTCAGGCACGAGAGAGCAGGGTAGGAAGCTGAGGGCCAGAGCAGGCCCAGGAGCTGGGCTGGTGGGCGCTTGAAGAACAGCGTGTGAGCCTCTGATTGGCTTCTTGGGATAAAGCTTGATTTCTGAAGCTAGGTGTGGTTACAAGTGCATGCCTGTAATCCCAGCAATTTGGGAGACTGCTGCAGGAGGATCACAAGGTCAAGGCCAGCCTTAGCAACAGCATAAAACCTTTGAGCAACTCAGTGAGACCCCTTACCAAAATAACAAATGAAATGGGCTAGGATGTAGATCCAGGATAAAGTACCCCTGGGTTCAATTCTCAGTACCAAAAACAAAACAAGAAAGCCAACTTGCTGAGGGTGGGGTAGCTGTCCGTGAGGAGGCCAGGCCTGTGTCTTCACCTGCCTACCAGGTATCAGACCTCTCCATTCCCCCGGAGCCTCTGGGGAGAGCCGTTGGCAGTCCCGCCCCCAGCCAGGTGGTGCACTTGACATTTTTTTCCACGTTGGATTTTGTTTATTTTCAAACTCCTTTGACCCCATGGTGATCCTGAGAAATGGTCAGAGCCCTGTTTGAGAAAACTGGACCAAGAGAGGTTAAACTGACCACCTGGTCACCCACACATTACTCAAATGGTCCATCTGCGTCCCCAAGAGATGGTTAGAAACCCAGATCTCCAGCCCATCCCTGGCCCTGGAACCAGAGTTTACATCTCAGCGAGGGCTGGAAGAGCGGTGGGCATGTCGCGGCTGGCCTGGGTAGGAGTCTGTGTTGTGGACCGACAGGGCTGCACCCGCTTTGGTCAGCAGGTCTAACATGAACATCATGGTCACCTGTAGCTATGAGTGGAGCTGTTGGTGGGGAGTGGAGCTGAGAGAGCTGGGACCAGGCCGGAGAATGGGAAAGGGAACTAGGTTAAGGGGCAACTGTGAAGCTGCGCCCCGTGGCCACTGCTGTGACTCCCGGCATTGGGTGCCCTAGAGCTGATGACATGGGTGGGGGACACAATCAGGGAGGTGCTGGACCAGTCCAGGTCCAGGTGGGGCGGGACTCACCCCAGGGCTGACCTTGAGAGTGTCGAGATGGAGGGCCAGGCTGCTGCCCTGGCCAGTTCCCACCTGGCCTGAGCCCCAGCTTGGCCCCCTCCCTGCCGCCTGGGTTTCTGTGGTTACTGGTTACATGGCCTTAGGAACTAACCCAGGCTCCTCAAGCCCCCTCGCTGGTCAGCATTCGTTCCTGCTGAGCTGCAAGCTGGATGGAACCGTGAGCAGTCCCATAGCTCTCCACCACATGGATTTCCACGTTCTAGAAGGAGAGGCAGCTAATTCACAACCAAGAAATGTGTGGTATTTCATTTTATTTATTTTAACTGACATGCAATGGTTATACACACTTATGGGGTACAGTGTGTTTCCACACGTCTGCAGTATGTAATGAGCAGATTGGGTCATGGTATTTTCGTCTCCTTTGTTCTTGCTATTTAAAAATATATAATAAATCATTGTTAACTACAGTCACCCAATTGTGCTATAAAACACTAGAAAGTATTCTTCCTAACCATCTTTGCATATCCAAGATGTGTGTGTGTGTGTGTGTGTGTGTGTGTGTGTGTGTCTCACTGGGGATTGAACCCAGGGGTGCTTTACCACTGAGCTACACTCAGCTCTTTTGACTTTTTATTTTGAGACATGGTCTCAGTAAGTTGCCCAGGCTGGCCGTGAAGTTGCAATCCTCCTGCCTCAGTCTCCCACAAGATGTTATATTTTTATATGTGTGTACACATACATGAGCATACACATTCATGTTTACATACATACACACATATATATGATGTGTCAGATAATAACTGAATGGTATCAAAAGCCAAGCACAATGCTGCATATCTGTAATCCTACTGACTTGGGAGGCTGAGGCAGGAGGATCACAAGTTCAACCCTAGCCTCAGCAGCTTAGCAAAACCCTATCTCAAAATGAAAAATAAAAAGAGCTGATGCTGGGCTGGGGATGTGGCTCAAGCGATAGTGTGCTCGCCTGGCATGCGTGCGGTTCGATCCTCAGCACCACATACAAACAAAGATGTTGTGTCCGCTGAAAACTGAAAAATAAATATTAAAATTCTTAAAAAAAAAAAAGAGCTGGTGCTGTAACTCAGGGGGAGAGCATCTCTGGACTCAATTTCCCAGTACCACAGAAATGAAAGAAAGAAAGGGAGGGAAAGCAGGAAGGTAAGTAGGTTGGGCTGGGGTGTGGCTCAGTGGGCGAGCACTTGCCTAGTGCACACGCGGCCCTGGTTCAATCTCCAGCACCGCAACAAACAAACGAAAACTGCACCCCAGAAGGAGAAATCTAGAAGGTGGCATGTGGAAGATTATCATCTTAAGGCAGTCTGGGGACACCTCAATGAGGAGGTGACATTTAAGCAGAGATCAGAGGGAAGAGACTCTCAGGCCAAAAGGACAGCATGCAAGAGCCAGAAGGCAGGGGTGGGCTCACAGAGTCTGAGCAGCAAGGAGAAGCCCAGGTGGCAGGAGCCACAGGAGGGAGCAGGAGAGGAGGCCAGGGAGGTGAAGGGAGATAGCCCGTGACCAGGATAGACACATGGGGTGACCGTGGAAATACAGAATAAATGGATAACAAATCTGCTGATATTTGAGTGGATTTTGAGTAAAAACAACACTTTGCCATGCAGGGCAGCACCTGCCTGTAATCCCCAGCTCCAGACATCCACTTCTAGAGATGGCCCTACCCCTCTCCCTGGCCATAGGAGCCACCATGCCCGTTAAGCGTGGCTCCAAGCCTGGCTGCACCTTTGATCTTGCTTGGGACAGAGCTCTACTCCCCTTGCCAAAATCCACTGGGGGACACCTAACTCAAATTGGACAAGGGGTCACTTCCTCAGGATTTTTGGATCCAAGTTCAAGAAAATCAAATGTATTTCTTTTCATAAAACAGGGGCTGGGGATGTGGCTCAAGAGGTAGCGCGCTCACCTGGCATGCGTGCGACCCGGGTTCGATCCTCAGCACCACATACAAAGAAAGATGTTGTGTCCGCCAAAAACTAACTAACTAAATAAATAATTCTCTCTCTCTTTAAAAAAAAAATAAAATGTAAACAGATTTTTAAAAAAAAGACAGCAGAAATCAATTCATATTTCCCCTCTGAGATCCACTAAAATGAGAAGTAATTAGTAAAAACAAAACTACAACAATGCTTGGCGCAGTGGTGCATGCCTGTGATCGCAGCAGCTTGAGAGGATCACAAATTCTACACCAGCCTGAGCAACTTAGTCAAATCCTATTAAAAAAAAAAAAATGCTGGAGATGTAACTCAATGGTAAAGTGTCCCTGTGTTCCCATCTTCAAAAAAAAAAAAAAAAGAAAAGAAAAGAAAGAAAGAAAACAAACCAGACACAACACTTCAAGGAAAAGCCCTGTTCTGAGTGACATTTGCTGAGCCAGGCAAGGCTGCAGGTGGAGCAGGTTCAGGAGACATAGGATTTGATTTTGGATGGCATATTGGCCAGGCCTGTGAGATGCCCAGGTGTAGGTGCTAAATAGGAAGTTGGGCGTCCAAGGCAGAGCTCCGGGCCAGGCCAGGGATGGAGCTATTTTCTTGGGAGTCGTCAGCACAGAGAGATGGCTCTTACAGCTGTGGATCTGGAAAAGGCCATCTTGGCATGAGCAGGATCTCAGTCCTGCAGGGACAGTCTGAGGTTCTGCAAGGTTTTGATCTCAGGAAGGTGAGCAACCAGAAAACTCTATGAAGAAGGAGGACCGAAGGCCATGTTGAGGAGTTCAGTATGCCTGAATCCTGTGGCTGTTGCTACTCTTCCTGACAGACTGGATCCAGGCCGCAGGAGGACAATTCTGTTAACACCTGTCAACAGCCACTCCAGATAAATGGAGTCACTACTGCTTTATGAAGGAGAGGCTGCCATTTTTAATGACCAGTAGCTGATCAGTTGAATGCAGAAGTCACTCCTGTCCCCCAAGCAGTTTTTTGTCTTGATTTCACACAGCTACCTGCCACAGTCTGGCTGGGCACAATTCACGAGCCACTTGTCAAGCAGGAATGAACATTATTTTTAGAGCACCCCGCACCACTGGAGCTCTCCAGGAATTCCCTCAGAGCCCAACTGCCACCACCGGCTCTTCAGGTGAGCCTCTCAACGGGAACTCTTCCCGCCCTTGATGGGGTGGCATGGGCGGAGCCAAAAGAGTCCCCCAATGAGCAGCTCCATGGTCTGAAAGGGCAGGGAAACAGCCCAATGAGCTGGAAGTTTGCTGGGGTCTCTTCCGCTGTGGCTCTCAACATCCACCTGTGGTGGAAGTCAGGAGGCAGCAGGGCAGTGGGTGGTGGGGAGCAGGGCTTGGTGGGAGAGCTAGGGCAGAATTCCCAGAATTCAACAGAGCTGCCATCTCTGGGGGAGCGTGTGAAGATCAGACGAGATCTGGGCCCATCAGGAGGTGAAGCTCTGGCAGATGAAGCAGGATGAGCAGCCAGGTGTTGAGCAAGTGAATTCTTTCCTGAGTGCACAGTTTTTTTGGTGGAGGACCCAGGTAGAGCTTGCACGTTCATGCTCTGTCCCCCATGACAGGTGTGCTCAGGAACCTCTCGCTTCCAGCCCCCCGACTTCTGCCTGCTCTCTCCAGAAGCACAGCCTGCCGAGCCGCTCAAGTCAGCAGCCCTCCCTCTGATTCATGAGCCTCTCTCCCAGGGTCCCTTGCCACTCTGAAGGCCCCACACAGACCAGCCATGACCACTGCGTCCTGGTCCCCAAAGTCAGTGAGACGTCTCCTCCTGGTCCCCAGGCATCGCCAGTCAGGCACAGCTCATAGCCTCCGAAGACCCTGTCCCTACTCATGGTTTTCCTTGTGCCTAACCCTCCTGGGCACTGTGACTTTTAGAAAGAGACCTGCTTTGTTAGCCTCTATAGCAAAGATGGAACAGGAGACCAGATGAGGCCTCACAGAGGTGGGTGAGGGTGAGGGGGGCGGGGTAGAGGAGCCACACACCTGCGTTTCTTGGAGGTTGTCTCTTTTTGCCACCCAGTTGTAATTTGCAACACTTGAGTTCACGGACAAGGAACACAATGTCTCTCCAGAGGATGATCCCACCCCAGGAGCTGGCCCACGGCCTTGGACTTCTGAACAGGAACTTGAACTGAGCCAAGTGTGCAGAATAGAACTAATGAGGCTCAGAGCCTTTGGGTCAGTGAGTTTGGTGGTTAGGGACACAGGTGCATCCAGCTAGAAGCCTCAGGGCTGGGAGGTGCCCTTGGCAGTACAAGACCCTCTCTCCCTCAATTCAGCCAGCATCACTGGGCCTCAGAGGCTGCCAGCTCATGGGGAATGGGGGCATAGAAGAGTCCTTGAACCTGTCCTTGAGATGTCCATAGATGAGTTGTGGTAAGATAGCCAAGAACTTAGGGGGTATGGTATGGGAACACTGCAAGTGCCCAGTGTGTGGCCTTGGGTCTCTTGATTCCTTAACTTATCTAAGAAAAGAGGGCAATGCCACCTGTCTTCACTTGTGCCTGGGTGTCCAGTAGAGCAATGGCAGGGAGGGAAAGGGGACAGAGAACTGGACCATGGACCCATGGTGGAAGAATTGACCTCTGCTTGTTTCTGGTACATTCTCAAGGAATGTCAAAGCAAAGGAGTTTGTCCTTCTCCTCCCCAAGCTTCCATTAAGCAGGCTATGGCCCAGCCGTAGCTGTGGGCCCAAATACCGAGTGATCGATTAAGCCCATGTCTGGGGAGGCACCACAGATTAGCACCTGGGGGCCCCTGGGGAGGGAACGGGGCAGCTGAGTGGTAGGTGTGGGCGAGACCCGCTTTCTGTGTCATACTCCTTTGTACTTTTAGACTGTGATACCATGTGGCTGGAACCTCTCACAGCAGCAAAAATGAGTCAGTGCTTCAGGGATGGTTCAAGCTCGGGGCAGAGCCAGAGAGGGGCTTTCTTCTTTAGATATCCTTCCTCGGACCCTGAGGGGCTGGGAGAGCAGAAGAAAGGGCTTGGAGGACCCTGCAGGCCAGCCCTGGGGCTAGGCATCTCATCTCTGACTTTCCAGAGCCTCCTGCTCCCCCACGGGCCTGCCTGCCAGGCTGCCAGCTGGAGTTGGAGAGGGGCGGGTGCTGTGGGCATAGATGCTGTGTGCTCACCTGCCCACAGTCCCAGACACTGGAGCTCATCAGTCTCAGAATTCGCTTCAGCTGCCACAGCTGCTGGGGAAGTGGGTATGGGGGTCAGGAAGGGGACTGGATGTGGCTGAGGAGAAAAGGCAGGGGCCAGAAAGAACTGCCCAGATTAGGGAGGCCTTGCCCAGCCCCAGTGTCAGCAGGGAGGCCGGCCATAGCCATGGCTAGTCCTGCTGCCAGCCCTGGCTCCCAGGCAGCAGCTCCAACCCGGCCAGTGCTAGCCTGCACTCAGAATGACAGAGGAGCCTGTGTGAGTGGGCAGCTCCTGTGTTCCTCGTGTGCTCCCTGAAGTCTCCGGTCCCTCCCCCTACCC